GGATGGGAAGCGTGACCATTGCAGGTTAGCTCCAGCGACCTCCAGCATTTCGTCAAGTTTTCCTGACCGGAGTGGAGAGAGAGAATAATATCTGTCAACTCTCTGCACAATCTACCGTAAATATCTTGTAACTTCAACAATAAGAACAATGAGAGTTTGGTTTTGAATCTAACAGTATCCCCTCATTGATATTTTTCTTTCTTCTCAATCCCTTTTCGCTGGAAATTATATCAACATTGTAAGAAGAAATTTCTTTTCCGTCACTCCTTGTTTTGAAGGATAAAACTGACCCACACTGAGTACAAAACGCAAGCAAAAGCTCGTACCATCTGAAATAAGGCTGACTTTGATGATTCAGTCTCCTCAGGGTATTCCCCAGTCCCTTTCGTTTCCTGCTGCTCCCGCGCTTGTATGCTAGGCAACACGACAAGCGCGCGCTTGAGGATCTGACGCGTGGTGGTTTTCCCGCCGCCAGCTGGTCCTACCAACATAACACCATGCCGCACTTGAAATGTGCTGTTCAACTGAATCACCTTGTCGATCTGTGAGGGCCAATACTGAATAGACAACTCGCCCAACGCCGCCTTGGCAGCTTTCTAAAATAAGAAATACAAAATGGTGTTAAACCACATCAATGATCACGTTTAAGCGAAGAAGGGAAACGTGCGAGTTGGAAACCTTGTATAAAACTACAAAACAATGATGCCCTCCCTTCTACACCTACTCTCAACTGTGTCCACTACATAAATCAGTATTGCGGTAGTTACGATTGAAAGTTATAGAGAAACCTGACAGAGTAGAAGGACATTTCAATGAGGCATATTTCTACAAGGTTTTCAATAACTTTTCATTTGCTTTCCCCAAGGTTTGTGTCTACCACAGAAATGAGTACTGGTTATGCTTGAAAGCTATAGAGAAACTTGACTGAGCCGAAGGACATTTCAGTGAGGCATATTTCCACGAGATTCTCAATTTTTTTTTTTCTACAAGGGCTGTGCTCGAAAACGGGACGTGAGGCGAAACTCAAACATGATAGCCCGCACGTAGGCTAAACAGACAGCGTTAACAGGTCTTATAGGCAGCAGTCGACTGCTGACAACCGGCTTTTATTGAAACCGACAGCGCTGAATAACGAAATGCTACGTCAGATGATATGCGGTTAACAACGCGGGCTCAAGCGCGCGAGGTCCAAAACTTTGCGAGATTAGCGGAAAACAATAAGGGATGACATACAAAACCGAAGCATTTTGTTGTCGTCAAACTCATTTTCCTATTTCCTGAGTTTTTAAGGAGAAAATTAACTTTCGAAAATTTTTGGGGGTGTACAAAGCTTTTGGAAGTTGTTCGATGAAAGAAAAGCGGCACAGAGAACGACGCCTCAAAGCAACAGAATAGGAAATCGGCCATGCAAATGACTCAAACTCCGTTCCAGCGGCAAAACTTGGCGCATGCGCATAGGTTATTCAGCTCTGTCATCGACACCTTCTTATTTCCTACTTTGCTAGGTTAGAAAGGCACAGAGAAGTACATATAAATCAGCAGAACAGGACCTGGGCGGTTTAAGGTAGAGAATGCAACAACAGATTGAGATCAATTCCGTTATCTAGAGAACTTCACATATATACTCTGTATTCTATAGTCACCTTCAGTAGCTTATTGTCGGGAACTGGTGGATCTAAACCTGGAAACAAGTCTGCCAAGATGCTCTTGAACAGTTCAGCATCCTCTGCGACAACCTTGGGAATGTTGGCATCCTTGACTGCGTTAATAATCAAATGTGAATCTTCTTCTTCCAGCGTCTCAGACGCCATGTTTAGACTGCCTAAAGATTATAAGAAAGTATTCAGGATTGCATCATCTGGTCCCAACTTCGCAGTAATAAACCCTACCTACGGCGTAGTGGTGAGAGCGCTCGCCTTCCACCACTGTGTCCCGGGTTCGATTCCCGGACCCGGCGTCATAAGTGGATTGAGTTTGTT